CAGGGAGGCGGACCCAATTAGATGGATCCGCCCCAGGCGCCTGATGGATCCTGATAGGTTCCAGACGGAGCTTGGGCCATTTCCTGAGGATCTAGCACATGACTCGGCCGAGGACCTGGTAGCCGCCTGGGATCGGGCGGCTGGTGGGGCCTTGGACCGAGTTGTGCCTTTGCGGCCTCTGACCCGATGCCGATCCCGGGCGGCTCCTTGGTTTACTGAGGAGCTGAGGGAAATGAAGCGCCGGAAAAGACGCCTGGAGAGCGGTTGGAGGGCCAGTCTCGCTGAATCTGATCGAACACTGGTAAGGTCGCATATTAAGACCTACCTAGTGGCGATAAAGACGGCAAAGTCTAACTACTTTTCCGCCTCTATTGCGTCATCAGGGAATCGTCCGGCCGCCCTGTTTAGGGTGACCCGCGCCCTGCTCCATCTGGGAGTGCGGGAGGATCCCTTAGAAGGCAGGGCGGAGGATTTCGGACAATACCTGTATGACAAAATCGCTCAGATCCGGGGGGATTTGGACTCTGACTGGGTAGATCAGGGCAGGGTGACGAGGAACAGTCTTGAGAATGTTATCTGGGAGGAGTTTGATGCTGTGACTCCCGATGATGTGGACAGGATTTTGGGGAGACTTAGTGCGGCCACATGTTTACTGGACCCGTGTCCCTCCTGGTTGGTACTGGCTTCCCGGGAGGTTACACGAGGCTGGCTCCAGGGCGTCATTAATGCTTCGTTGAGTGAGGGTCACTTCCCCGCTGCCCTGAAAGAGGCGGTGGTGAGGCCTCTCCTCAAGAAGCCGTCCCTGGACCCAGCAATATTGGCTAACTATCGTCCTGTCTCCAACCTTCGCTTCATTGCGAAGGTTGTTGAGAGTGTGGTCGCGCAACAGTTTCCACAATTCCTGGAGGAAACATCCTATCTAGATCCGTTCCAGTCGGGTTTCAGGTCTGGGCACAGCACGGAAACGGCATTGGTCGCGTTGGCGGATGATCTCTGGAGGGCTCGGGACAGGGGTTACTCCTCTGTTCTGGTCCTATTAGATCTCTCAGCGGCTTTTGATACCATCGACCATGGTATCATGCTGCACCGGCTGGAAGAGTTGGGGGTGGGAGGCACCGTGTTGCGGTGGTTCTCCTCCTTTCTCTCCGACCGGTCGCAGTTTGTGTTGGCAGGGGGGCAGAGGTCGACCTCGAGGCCTCTCATTTGTGGAGTGCCGCAGGGATCGGTCCTCTCGCCCCTTCTGTTCAACATTTATGTGAAGCCGCTGGGCGAGATCATCCGTGGCTTTGGGGTGAGATACCACCAGTACGCTGATGACACCCAGCTGTACATTTCCACCCCAGGCCACCCCAACGATGCCCTTGAAGTGATGTCCCAGTGCCTGGAGGCTGTGCGGATCTGGATGGGGAGGAACAGGCTCAGGCTCAACCCTTCCAAGACTGAGTGGCTGTGGCTCCCGGCATCCCGATATAGTCAGTTGACTCCATCACTGACTATTGGGGGCGAGTCTTTGGCCCCCACTGAAAGGGCTCGCAATCTGGGAGTCCTCCTGGATAGGCAGCTGTCTTTGGAGGAACATCTGACGGCTGTTACCAGGGGGACCTTTTATCAGGTTCGCCTGATTCGCCAGTTGCGGCCCTTTCTTGATCGGGATTCCTTGTGCACAGTCACTCACGCCCTCGTCACCTCTCGCCTTGACTACTGCAACGCTCTCTACATGGGGCTCCCCTTGAAGAGCACCCGGAGGCTCCAGCTGGTCCAGAATGCAGCAGCGCGGGTAGTGATGGGAGCAACATGGCGCTCCCATGTAACACCGCTCCTGCGCGAGCTGCACTGGCTCCCGGTGGTCTTCCGGGTGCGCTTCAAGGTGTTGGTTATCACCTTTAAAGCGCTCCATGGCATAGGGCCTAGCTATCTCCGAGACCGCCTGCTGCTACCGACGACCTCCCACCGACCCGTGCGCTCCCACAGAGAGGGCCTCCTCAGGGTGCCATCAGCCAAACAATGTAGGCTGGTGGCCCCCAGGGGGAGGGCCTTCTCTGTGGGGGCTCCTACCCTCTGGAATCAGTTGCCCCCGGAGATAAGAAGAATCCAGGACCTCAATGCCTTCCGTCGTTCCCTGAAAACCCATCTTTTTCAACAAGCCGGGTTGCCCTAAGAAGAAATTTTTAAAATTTTAAAATTTTTAAATTCTTTTAATTAGTCTGTGATTCTTAACTTTCGGGCCAAAATTTATATATATTTTTAAATGTTTTAATATTTGTATCCTATGTTTTTTATCTTGGCTGTACACCGCCCTGAGTCCTCAGGGAGAAGGGCGGTATATAAATTGGAAATTAAATTAAATTAAAATTAAATTCTGCTGAAGTTGCAAAGGCCTCTGCTAAAGACTCTGTGTTGAGAACCGTTATGAGCTGGGTGCATAGGGGTGGCCTATCAGCCCGGTTGGCAGGGAATTTAAACCGTTTGCATGTAAACAACTTGAGCTGTCTATGCAAGAGGGTTGTTTGCTATGTGGTGACCGGGTGGTGATTCCGCCTAGTCTAAGGGAGGAGGTTTTAAAGACATTGCATATCGGACACCCAGGGATTGTGAGAATGAAGGGGCTGGCAAGGAGTTATGTATGGTGGCCTGACATGGACAATTGTATTGCCGAATGGGTGGCCAAGTGTACCCCCTGTCAAGAGTCTCACCCCGCTCCCCTGGTTGCCCAGGCCAAAGAGTTGGAGAGACCCCAGGGACCATGGTCCCACATTCATATCGATTTTGCTGGCCCATTCCATGGTCAAATCTTTCTGATCGTGGCTGGAGATCATGTTAATGCACTCCACCACTGCAGAGGCTGTAATTAAAGCACTCCGGAAACTATTCGCCATGCATGGGTTGCCTGACACCCTGGTGTCAGATAATGGACCTCAACTGATGGCTACTCAATTCGAGGGGTACCTAGCGGAGATAGGGGTCCACCATGCTCTCACAGTAATGGGCAAGCTGAAAGATTTGTTAGATCAGCCAAAGAGGCCTTGGCCAGACTCGGTACCTTCCTGGCAGCTCAACATGTCACCCTGTATATGGCAATGGGACAAAGTCCAGCAGAGCTCTTAATGGGCTGGAGACTCCGTTGCACTCTAGATAGGCTACACCCCAATTATTCCCCGGAGGGGTACATGGAAGCCGAAAGTAAGACTAGAAGTTTTTCTATTGGGTCTGCTGTCTTCGTGAGGAATTATGGGGAGGGTCCCCTCTGGGTAGCAGGGAAGATCGCTGACATTACTGGCCCCAGGTCATATATTGTAGAGGTCAATAAGGGAAAAGTATGGCGAAGACACATTGACCAGTTAAGGAAACGTCTGGCCCAAACAATGCCTGACAAGCCGGAAAATAAAATAGAAATACCAGTCCCTGACTCGCCAATCGCTCATCCAACAGCTAACTCAAACCCAAAGTGGCCAGAGCGGAAAAAATCTCAATGCTCATTGGTTAAGACACTTGGGAAGTAGCTATATAAAGAGAGCTGTCTAACTGCAAAGTTGCTGGATTCTCACTGTATATTAAAGAATTGTTGTTCACTACAATCTGGCTCCTGGCTCCTCACTCACCCAATCTACCAGTTTTGATGGATGCTGTTGACATGTGGCTAGACTCATGGCTCTCCTTTACTGGAAAGCCCCACCTCACCCTACTGAATGAATCAGCTGCCAAAACTCATAGCACCCACCAATAGCAGAGTGGATTGGAAGTTCCATTAAAGTGTTCATTACTAGGCATTCTCCTCCCCCCATAGATCAGCATTGGACAACCACTTTTAACACTTTTAACTGGTAGTGGGACGTGGCTCGGGGGTTGGAGACAGAGGTAGTATTCAGCTGGTTCTGACCGGTTCTCACAAATTGGTAGTTGAAATTTTGAGTAGTTCAGAGAACTGATAAATACAACCTCTGCCTGGCCCCGCCCCCCAATCTATTTGCTGCCTCCCAGTCTTCCATCTTATCAGCTAGAAGGAAAAAATCAGGGCTCACTTTTCAGCCGGGAGATCATTTGGCAAAGAAGAAGAAGAAAAGGGAGAAGGAAAGAAACAAGACGTTAAATTGACAAGCCAAGAAGCAGCTGTTGGAAGGAGGTTTTTACTTGCAGTTTGTTTCTGGGTCAGCTGAACAACAAACTGGATAAGAGGAGGGATTCTTATATGGTTCTATGTTTTTGAAGTTTTGGGGTTTGTGCAACATGGGCTTTGTGTTTCTAAAAAGGTTTGGACAATTCCCATTGTGAAATATCTTGTCTTGAATAAGTTTTCTGCCTGCTTGTAAATGGAGCTGAACTTCTTTCACTTTCTATTATCTCTAAGCACTAAGTAACTGTTTTCTTCTTACAAAATTTCCTTTATGCAGCTGGCAGGAATGTGGAATGAGCCTCAGGCAGGCTTGGTGGTGGGTTACTACTGGTTCGTCCTGGATTGAGCGAACTGGTAGCGGTGGTGGTGGGAGGCTCTGCCCACCCGCCCAGATGCTTCTGCGCATGCTCAGAAGCTTCTGCACATGCACGCACGTGTGTGCATGAACAAACCTGTAGCAAACTAAATTGAAACCCACTACTGGGCAGGTTCGTTTGTTAGCAGCTTGATTTTTCCATGCTTTTCCGGGAACCTTTTCTTATGAGTAATATTTTATTTGGAGAAATGAAGATGGGGCGTTGATTCCTTCCCAGAGCAGGTTACTAAATTCTGGTAATTATTACATTGCTCTTAATCTTTATTAAAATGGATGCTATGGTAACATTATGAACTAAAAACTGATCCTATGAAGTTCATTATATGGCATAATCATACCACTCTCAAAGACCCCATAATAAAATTAATTGCTGACTAGGAAACATGGGGAGTATGTTCTCATATGTTACCGGTACATAATTCTCATCTCTAATTTTTCTGAATTTTCATCTGATATATTTTTGCTTTCATAAATATGTTGATTAAATCAGTCTTATTGCTTTTTTTCTGTTAGGTTTATCATCTGGGCATTGCAAGAAAATGATGGATATCAAACGAATGATCAACAATTTCCACTGGTTCTACTGGCAATTCCAACTGATTACAATGACACATATGATGGATTCCTTTGAATGGTGGCTTTTCCACAGCCTTTTGTTTTTTACAGTGATTCTGCTAGTATATATTTTTTATGTCATTGTGCCTATGCAATTCGACTTGGTTCTAGAGACTGTTTGTCATCTATTTGGTTTACAGTGCAAAAGTAGCAGACCAGCCATCATCTGAATTTGCTACAGTTCAGAGGGACTGTGTGATTGTGTGGATATTTTTCTTCTAGTTTATATTGTTGAGTTTCTTTTCAAAGCAACTTTTGGAGGTTTTCTGGGATTACATTTTTTTGATCCATGAAAGAAATATTTGGAAAAAAATAACCATATTTGCATTCAACAAGTGCCCAAACATCGTTTCTCTGTATGTGTAAGCTATTCGTTGAGTGGCATGTCATATACATACCTTAATTTTTCCAAGGAAGCTTATCTCTCACATTTTTAAGTTGTTTAGGGGCTTAATCAGACGTTCATTTCCTGTCAAAATATTAATTTTATATATTTGTTATTATTAGACTTTTATTGCAATTCATTATGTAGGAATAGTCTGTAACAAGCTGTAAAATAAGAATAAAATTGAAAACGTAGAAAGGCCAATAAAGTTTTGTCTGTAGTATATTATAAAACATTTAAATGTTGCATTACTGAATGTAAACAAACCAGGTTTAGGAATTAATATTACGCCTACATTTTAAATATTATCCCTTTTTTGAGTGAATCTATATAGTGAATCTATACACTGAAGCCTCAAAATAGTTTCAGTCAGGTCAGTTTCAGGGTTGACATTAATATATTACATGAATTATATGTATAGTTTAAGTGGATGTGCTTTGCAGGATATCAGCGGCCCCCAACCTTCTGGGTATCAGGGACCGATTCCGTGAAGAGAAGTTTTTCTGTGGACCAGGGGGTATGTGCATTTGTGTGCTGTCTGCAATCTATAAATGGAGCTTTGCTTGTTTTCACAGACCGGTTTCTAGCATGCCGTGGACTGGTGCTGGTCCACAGAATGGGGCTGGGGACCCCTGCTCAGTGGTGGGTTCCTCCCGGTTTGGTCCGGTTCGGCCGAGCCGGTAGCGGGGGCGATATGACATCACCGAACCAGTTCTCCCCCGCCCTCCCACCCCCCACCCCCCACGTTATTCTTACCTTTTATTTGGTCCCACCCCCAATCTATTGCTGCCTCCTGAGTCCCAGCTGATGACTAGAGGGAAAAAAACTGTTTAAACTCTTGCCGCGGGGCTTTAAAGGGCCATCCTACAGCTGATCAGTGTTAAAAGCAAACAAAGAGTCAGGTCATAAGTGCGAAGACTGGTCGTAAGTGCAAGGACCTTCCAGAAATGACTCTGACCAGCTAGCCACGCCCACCTAGTCACATGACCTCCAAGCTGCACCCACAAAATAAGCCACGCCCACAGAACCAGTAGTAAAAAAAAATTAGAACCCATCCCTGCCCCTGCTGTACATGACATCAGCCTTGCAACAGTTTCACAAGCACTGAATAGCACTGGAGAAATATTTCATGTTAATTTTTATTAGTTGCATACACGGCAATCACATATTATATTTATGTATATACAAAAACCTGATATTTTCCAGGTGATCAGTAAGAATTTACAAAATTTTGCATTTTATTAACCAAGTCCATGACTTTTAGAACATCATGGAATGATGTTCCATCCTATTATTACTCTTATTAATAACTTTGACTTGTTTGGTTTTCTGATTTTCTCATTATGTCAAAGTTAACCTCATAAGAGTTATAATTTATAATTATGCAATTATAAATCAAGCGTTGACATGTTACAAGATCCATTAGTAAAGATCAGAAGACGTTGTACTTTATCTGTCTTCCTCATCCTTGTTACATATGAGAAAGCTTGTAGTTCAGACCTGCATCTTGGAGGTGTACTATTTAGCATATTCTAGGACCTATGGGTGTATACTGTCTTAATTCAGTTTGAATTCAATCATCATTCCCAGCTTTACGTAGCAAAAATATATTGGGCATCTTTGCACAAAATTATAAGGCAGAACTCATGTATTATGAATTGTTGGTTGCTGTGTGCAAATGTTTGCTCTCCTACTTATCCCAAGCTGAAGTGGCTAAATTAATCCAGTAAAAATAACTTATTGTGTCATCCAAACTGGGAGCTCTGACTTCCTATCTTGAAGCAATCAAGGAAAGGCAAGTGAACAAACCTTATTTGCGATTTTGCATCAGATGGACACATAGCTGAGAACATTAAAAACTTTAAAGTACAAATTTAATCAATGGATGTATAATAATTGTATATATGCATTTATTTTATACAACAAACATACTTCTGTAAGTGAACCAAATTATAGATAATACAAATATAAAAATGACATATATATCAGGATATTCAATTTTCATTCAAAAATCTAGATATTCAAAATATCTAGATTTTTTTAAAAAATGGATTTTATTTCCCCATTACGGAAAATTTTCTGGATAATTTACATCTGTAGCTCACCTGACAAGTTCACATTGAGCTCTAAGCCAAATTCAAACAAACACATCTTATGACTGAAGACAAAGTATGAAGTGTTTTGACTTTGCTACAGGAAATTTAAATATATATGCAGCACTTGCCTTCGGGTTGTGTTTAGCATAACAAAACATCAAATGATCATAAGAAATTGGGAGAAAACAGAATCAATGTATTTTAATGATAACTTGTCTGCTGGTATTTATTTCCATAGACAAATGGAATGGCCATAATTCAGATTAAAATGTAGAAAAGTCCAGAATTGAGACCCTGTCACAAGATAGTGGGAAATATAATTTATTGAAGTTCTTGAGAACTACTGAGATAGAACAACTTATTGATCTGATTTTGAAAAAGGTTCTTTGCATCATCCCATTGAATGAGCAAATGAATAATATACACATCTGGCAAGTGCCTCACCTAAAGAGTCCATTAGAATCCTCTAGAACAGGGGTCCCCAATCCCTGAGCCGCAGCCTACTACTGGGTTGTGGCTAGTGGTGGGATTCAACCGGTGTAACAACTGGTTTGCTGAGCGCGCGCTTCACAGTCCATTTCAAAACACCATTAAAACTTACCTTCCACTAGCCCTGGTGAATAAAACAGCTGAGGCGTGGCAATGCTGCGCCGATCAGCTGGGCTTCAAATAAATGAAATAAAGGTAGGTATAGCACAGGGGCGGGGGGCAGGCCCAGCTGACAGTCGGAGTGAACCGATTCACTTTCAGCTGAATGTCGGAGCAACCGGCTCGCACGAACCAGAGCGAATAGGCTGAATCCCAACCCTGGTTGTGGCAATATTACAGGCCCAATTGGCAAAAATAAAGCTCATAACCATATTGGTTGGAAGCATGTGGAAGATGCCTTCATCCTGCAGTGGATAGACAATGGCTTAAATGATGATGATGATGATAGTACGATGATAGTATTCTCATTCTTTTAAAAAATATTTTGTTGACATATCTTTTCATTTTCCCCAAGCCTTAATAGCACTTTATCCATGGGAGTGAGATAAGGCATACATTGCAAGGAAGACTTCTCCTTAGATCAGGGACACACCAACCTTTCGGACCTCAGGGACCACTAAATTCATAATTTTAAATCCAGCGGACCACTAATATGATCTGCCCAATGACCGGGCGGGTGTGGATAGGTGGCATGTGACTGGGTGGTCATGGCCAACACAATGTCACTCATTTTGAGGGGCGCGTCACTGGCCTCTACTCACCCCTGTCCTGCCAGCCACTCCTCGCCTCCCCACATGGGCTCCTTAGGGCCCCAACAAGAAGCAGTTGTTGGACATAAGCAGCCACCATGAGAAAGAGTTGGCAAAACAGCTGGTTCAGTTCAAATTGGATATGACCAAGAAGGAGGCTGAGCAGAAGCACCTCACTGAGGACTACGAGCATAGGCTTTCCAAGCAGAGGGAAGATCTGTGGGAGTGCAAGGCCAGGTACCGGTACCTGGAGGTTCAGCAGGCTGAGATGGTCAGCCAGTTCCAGGCCAGGATGCAATCCCACTGGAACAAGGCCCTCCGGCTCTTCACCACCAGCGGCGCCTCCCTCCAGCCTTCGCCCAAAGCTCCGTACCAGGAGGCTGAGGCAGACCCCAAGTAAGAATTTCTGCCCCCCTCTGACTGACACAAAAAAACACTGAAGGGGGAGAATCTCTGCAGTAACACAAGTGTTCATTGCATGTATTTGGCCTAGGGGCTGTAGTTTGAGGACCCCTGATTTAGTGCAACATAACAAATGCAAATAATTTTTCTGCGGACCATCAAAATTTTCTCACGGACCACCAGTGGTCCACAGACAACCAGTTGGTGATCACTGCCTTAGATAAGTGTATTCTTAGAAAAGTTAGAGAAGGAAGGAAGGAAGGAAGGAAGGAAGGAAGGAAGGAAGGACGGAAGGAAGGAAGGAAAGAAGGAAGTTGCTTATATGGAATGATGCTGATATGAGAAATGGGTGACTAGATAAGTATTCAATTGGAGAGGTTGACTGTAATATAGATAATGTGCAGGCAGTAAGGGGTCCCTGCAGCAGTCCATCTAATAGCTTGCTGTTAATTCTCTTGGGTATAGAACAATTTCATGAAATTATCTATTGTTTCTTTGATCCCCGCTCAGAAACAAGATTGATAAGGAATAAAATTTCAGCACTAGTATGCATCAACATTTCTTTCTTAAGCCTCTTTTATCTCTATCTCTCTTCTTTTTCTATTAATACCTATAAGGTAGAGCTCTTGCACCTTTTTTATGTTGGGTTTTGTCTTGCGGGGCTAGCATATAACTTCTCTCTTTTGAATCCTCCACCTTTCTATTGTTTGGCTGTTGTACTGTTTGCTAGTGGCTGCAAGAGATCTAAAATACAGGTCCTTTCCTGTCTCTTCCCACACCTTTGTCAAGATTGCAGGTTTACTGGCAATCTGCTAGGGCTAGGCTGATGGGGAGGGGTGAGGTTCAGATGGCAGGGAAAGAAGGCAGCCCAGGTGCCTGCAATTTTTTTTTTCTCTCCAAGCAGCCTGTTCTTCCACAAATAAGAACAGGTTAGGTGAAGAGGGCATTTTTTACAGATGGCTCAGGAAGGCATGATGGGAACAGGATTGGCAAGGAAGCTGTCAAATGGAAGAACCTGAAAATAGTAAGTAAATCAACATTGCTCAAAGAGGTGTGGCAAGGATATGATGTATAGAAGCCCTGTTTTCTGAGACATTAACCACACACTTTCTCCCGTGATAAAATTGCTCTGTGGGATAGGATGAAATCAGAAGTTCCACCACAATATTTTATGACTGAATTTCCTCTGTAATTGGCAAACTCTGTCAATTAAACCCAGTTAAGTCTTGCAAATATTATTTGGTTACAAGTCTTGTCATCGCGTGATATGACTGGAACCAAAGTCTAATTACTTCTGGACTCTGGTTGTCCTTTCTGTTCTTCCTTCACAGTATTTTGCAACCCATTAAAAGGTTGTAATTTCATATTAGAGTTAGCAAGTCCAGCTCTTGAGAGAGGAAATACATAAGAAATATTCTATGTCCGATGTTCTTCATATCACCTTTTAATAATGGGTCCCACTGAAAATGTTGCTTTTTTTGAAATTTCTAAAAGTACAG